AAAATGCTTTATATTTTTGGAGTGAATAAGACTAACTAATATGACCTCACGTGCTTGCATCAATGCTTGACTCTTCCTTTTATTTTTATTATTTGTTAATCTGTGACAGTTAATTATTTTATATATGGGTTAAACATGGTGCTGCACTTTTTTAATTAAAATAAGCACAGAAGAGACATTATTTAATGGGAAAATTAGATCCAACTCCTCTCACGGAAATTTATCATAGACAAGAATTAATGCAGAATGAATTATTAATTTATTATTAAAATGAGAACATAACTTATTTTTTTAAACGAAACTTATTATTAATCTTTATCTGTGATTAATTATCTTAAAAGGGAATTGAATATAATTCTCTCTTATTTAATTAAAATAAAAGAATGAGGAAATATCAGAAACATTCAAAGGCCTAAAAATATAAAGGAAAATTGGCTTTTGGCTTCTACCTAGAGGAATGCCTTTCATTGTAACAACCCCCCCCCCCCCCTTGTTTTCTTTTCTTGAGACCTAATTCACGTGGAAATGTGCAGGTCAACTATTCATTTATAGATACGCCAATAAATATTAGAAAAAATAACAGAAAAATTTATTTAAAGTATGTAAATAATAGATTGGTCTTATGAAATGACATAATTTTTTTAAAGTTTCAAGAGATGTTTTTATCATTAGAAAATTATAAGAAATGATACTCTTATCTTTTATTCAAATTAAAAAAATTCACAACTTTTCATTTATAACTTTTGATCATATATTAACAACTTTTATTTCTAAATTTGCAACAATTTATAACTATTCATAAATCTTGATCTGCGGGTCCTGATATACATCAGATATTAAAAATTTATAACTTTCTATTCATAACTTTTGTTCCTATATTAACAATTTTTATTTTTTAACTTCACAACAATTTAATCGTGATTCACAAGTCTTGATCTGTAGGTCCTGATTTACATCAGGTGTTGAAAATTTACAACTTTTCATTCACAACTTTTGTTCCTACGTTAGCAGCTTTTATTTTTAAATTTGTAATAATTCAATAGTCATTCACAACTTTGCATCTACAAGTTTTGATATGCATCAAGTGTTAAAAATTCATAACTTTTTATTCACAACTTTTGTTCCTATATCAACAAGTTTTGTTTTTAAATTCACAATAATTCAATAGTCATTTACAACTCCACATATGTAGGTCTTGATATGTATCAGGAGTTGAAAATTTGTAACTCTTTATTCATAACTTTTGTTCTTATATTAATAACTTTTGTCCCTAAATTCGCAACAATGCAACAAAAAATTATAATTTATCAGTACTTTTTGTAAATCGACTAAACCAATAAAAATGAATTACTACTCTAATTCAAGAAGTAACAACTTTCATTAATTTAAATGTTAAAAAAACTTAAAAAGTGACAACTATCTAAGGTTTTATTGTCAGTTACATTATCTATAGCTTGCATCAAAATACTTTACAAACTTTTGACAAAAATATATGAAGGGTTTAATCTTCTAGTGTCATCCTTTTTCTTATTATTTTTATCCTCACACTCTCCCATCATATATGTTTTACCTTCAATATTTTTTACAAATTGTCCCCTTATGTGAACATAATAAAATAGTTTCTTTTTAAAACTAAAAGCCAAAGAAGCCATTTCTCTTGTCAACATGAAATAATGAAATAGTCATTCATCAACATGTCTATTTTCTAAATATCATAATCACATATTTATTATGTTTTATCCAACAACAACTATTTTTATATTTACAACTTTATATTGGTCATTCTTAACTTCAGTTTATACATTTACAACATAATTAAAAATAATATATCATTTATCATTTATCCATGAATAAGCATTAATACCCACATATAGCAGAGAAAATGAAAAAATCAATCATGAAGAGAAATAAAGACCTCAATCATTTACGCATATTAATCCACATTAATTTTAACTATCACACATGGGAGGAAAAATTTTTAAGGAGGAGAGAAAATTTATCCATGTACAGCACAGTTAACAGAGGAAGAATGATTGCTTACATAAATTCATGTACAGTAGCTCAATAAAATAAATCACCTACGTATAGAAACTTAAAAAGAAATAAAACAGACGAGAAGGAGAAGGAGGAGAAGGAGGTAGAGAATGAGAAGGAGACAAATCAAAAGAAGAGCATGAAGAAAAGAAGAAAAGGAGAACAAGAAGATGAAGCAAAGGTAAGAACACACAAAGAATGAATTTGCATTGAGGCTTGAGATTTTTGTTTTATTTAAGGGCAATTGAGTCAAATCCCTTAATTCTCTAATGACAGAAACATTCTATAGGACTTATGAGAATTATGTCATTTCGTGGGATCAATATGTCATTTACACAATTTAAATGAATTTTTTTTGTCATTTTCCCTAAATATTATATAGATATAGACAATTAGAAATAGTATTAAAAAATTAAAATAATCTTACAAACAAGATTCACGTGAATATAAAATACGTTTAACCAATTTTTACTTTCTAAGAAGTTAACAAGCGGTATTTAAAATTACACATTCTTTCTGTAATTATTTTTATTTAATAGGTTGTTGCAATTACATAATTTTATTAATTAAATCTCTAAGTAAGGATTTATTTAAACATGTACTCGTTTTGTTAAAAAATATAAGGCATTTTTAATTAAATCTCACTCTTAATAAAGCAGTTACCTACTTTCTAACTAACCTTATCTTTTTATATTTATCTCCATTAAACACCCTACAATAAATATAAAGTCATTTATCAATATGGGTGCTTTTAAAAAAAAGATAATAATTTCAAAAAATTTAAAATGCCATATATTTTTTAATATCTAATTTTTTAAAAAATGTTTTACATTTTTAAATAGAAGGAGTATTAATTATATTTTAAAAGATTCAAAATACCTTACTGAACAAAATATTTAAAAAAATATCTTGTAATATTAAATGGAGGGAGTATAATTTTTTAAACTAGGACAACAATGCATTCGTAAATGTAAAGTTGAGTTTAGTTCATTTTAATTAATAACTTGCGAACAAAGACTTGAAAATCACTCCTACAACCGGTTAAAGTAAGTTAAAGTTTGTTCTCGAGAATTTTAAGGTTAACGTAAACCTAATTAACTAATAAATTTCGTCAACTTTGTAATATTAACAATGATAGAAAAAATCGACCATGCAATTTCACTTTGACTTGATGAAATCCGAATGATACAATTTATGTAGTCGATAAGACGCGAAGATAAAATTCTCAAAGTAGATGACTACATATCTGACTATAAAATTCATGTACAAGCATATATTTATATAATTTATATAATTACTATAACGTATTCATACCTGCCGAGGCCCAAAAGCACAGGGTAGAGTGTGTGTGTGAAGCGCGTAGAAAATCGAATAAAAGAGAAAACAATCATGCAACGTGAAAAATGTTTGGAATTGTAACGGTGGCAATAATGAATGTGGGACCCACCTCATAGACAGGTATACCCCACGTGGCCACCTCATTCTCCTTACATTGAATACAATTCTAACCTGGCTACGACCACGACAAATCTAGGGGCCTTCGGGTCAACATAAAAGTTTGAGTTTCAAGAAAACCACTGTGTTTTAATTATTGTTTTTTTATTAATTATTAAATCACAGATACATTTAATAATAACCATACTCCCTTGTTTTGCAACATCTTGGAGTAATTTACAACATCTCGTTCTGCAAGCATGGTTCTTGTATTATATTTTTTTTACTTCTATTTATAAATTATTTTTTATTTTATTGAAATAAAAAATTTAAAATTTATTAACTCTATTTAAAATGTTACTAAATTTATAATTTTATTTTTATTAAATATATATACTTTGTTAATACTTCATTTGTTAAAAGTGTAAGACATTCTAAATATTTTAAATATAATTATTACATTTTTTTTAAAAAGTACTCTTGATGAATAGATAAATTTATATTTATTTTAGAGTGAAATACTCTATTAAATATAAATAAATAAGAAAAGATGGTATTAGTTTGAAAATAAATAATTATTTTATTGAGTGTGAACTTTGATTAAAAACAACTTATATTTTTTAAGGGAAAGAGTATGTATTTTCTTCCATCAACATTTAATGAAGATAAAATGAGAAGTTTTTGATAAAAATTTAATAAGATAATTTGTAAATAATGTATAAAGTCATCATGAGATAAAATCTTATTCCTAATGAAAAGAATATGTTGATGGGTGATTTGTAAATAAAAGCTCTTTGAGCTTAGATCTATATTCTGCCTTAATGAATATTCATAACTCAATCATTTCAATTTTTAAAAATAAAAATACTCTATTAAAGTCTCAGTCTCAAATTAAAAGATATTTTTAAATAAAATTTTATATATAAATAAAGTTCATTAAATACACATAATATTTTTTTTTAAAATATAAATATAAATTTTTAAAAATATATTTTATTTAATACATTAAAAAAGATAGAGATAAAAATTAAATAAAAAAATAATAATATTAAACTTAATTTATTTAATAAAATTTTAATCTTTTTAAAATATTTTATATTTTAAAATGTTAATTGTTTTTAAAAATATCATATAATTTGACACGAGGGGGGTTATCCACATACACACAGGTTTTGTACCTGCCTTCTTGAAATGAAAACACGTCAAACCTGCTAGATCCACAAGCTTTTACGGCTACTTTGAACAGTCATTTGAATTTGAAGGGCGTGCGTGCTTGACTTTAAATTTCCATTCTCTCTGTATTCTTTTCTAAGTACTGAGATGCTCACCGACATGCTTGCATCAGGGGGATTTATTTTTTAAATATGTATTACTTAATTAACAAATTAAGGCATACAAACGAAAGCAGATTCAGTCTCTTCCACTTTATTTTCTTTTCCTCAATAAAATAAAAATAAAATCAACACGTTTCTTCTTGTCCAGCTACGCTATAAATAAAGGCCTAGAGTTGCCTTATTTGCCAATGCGCCAGCGTCTTCCTTTCTTAGCTTCCTTCTCAGTTTCCTCCTTCTTCAACTTGACCTTCCTCTCTATACAGATATACGCTCGTATCTCGCTTTGTTCACTCACAGAACCGCACAAAGCTTAAAGCTTTGAGTTTGAATTAACACTTTGTCTTCTGGGTTTCGCTGCGACTACGTCTTTTGACTTTCGGCTGCTATGGATTATTCATCATGGATTAACAGTTCCTTGGACCTCAACCTCAACCCTGATTCCAGAGTTAGTGAAGAGATTCCTGTAAGTCAAACATATCTTCGTGCCCATCTATAGAAGCTTTGGCTTGAATGTTTAATGACCTGGGAAATCTTTCATGTGTTCTGTTCAGAAAAGGGAGCTGGAAAGCAACTTTTTTTCATTGGACTTGAAGTCGTCTCCTGCAAGACAGGAGGTTAGTTTAGTTGTTTCTGGGATCTTTTTTTTTTTTTTTTGCCCTTCTGGGTTCAGGAAACTCGCACTGATCTTTGTTTGATTAGTCCATTTTGTACGACTCATTTCTGATTATAAGCTTAATGAGTTTCAGACAAGTGGTAATCTGGAGGAGGAATTGAAGAGGGTGAGTGCAGAGAACAAGAAGCTGACTGAAATGCTGACAGAGATGTGTGAGAACTACAACACTTTGAAGAACCATGTGTCTGAATATATGAGGAAGAACAACAATTCGGGGAAGGAGATGAGCCCACCAAAGAAAAGGAAGTCAGAAACCAGCAATAATAGCAATCCAATTAGGGCTTATGGAAACAACTCTGAGAGCAGCTCTACTGATGAAGAATCAAGCAAGAAACCAAGGCAAGAGATCATCAAAGCAAAAATCACTAAAGCTTATTTCAGAACACCAGCATCTGATACAAGCCTTGTAAGCTACCTACCCTCTAGCTTTACTCTTCTACACACACACACACACACTCTTAATTAACATTTACTTCTATTTTGATTCTTCACCATGACTAATTATGCATATTTCTCTTTTCAGATTGTGAAAGATGGATATCAATGGAGGAAATATGGGCAAAAGGTGACCAGAGATAACCCTTGTCCAAGAGCATACTTCAAATGCTCTTTTGCTCCCTCATGCCCTGTCAAAAAGAAGGTAATTATTAATTAAATCATAACTAAGTTCCAATGATGAACCAATCGTAAGGAATTGGGATCAAAGACAGACGTGCTAAGTGTTTCATCTATACGTTTGGCTGTTTCAGGTCCAAAGAAGTGTGGATGATCAGTCCATTGTTGTGGCAACATATGAAGGAGAGCACAATCATCCACAGCCTTCTCAAATGGAGACCACAGCATCCGGTTCTAGCCGAGGCATGACACATGGCATAGCACCTAGTTCATCTTCTCTGAGGCATTCTCCTCCTAAAGTTGACATGTCAAGATCTAAGTCCTTCAATGAATCCACAAACTCTATACCGAAGCTCGATTCGTCAGAAGTCCCACAGGTTTTGGTGGAACAGATGGCTTCCTCATTAACCAAGGATCCAAATTTTAGATCAGCACTCCTTGCAGCCATTTCAGGAAGAATGTCGCACAAGAATTAGAAGAGAAATGTCTAGTTTAGTTAGCTTAGAAGTGTATACTGTCATCAAGAAAATATCCAAAACTGGATTAGTTTTAATTTCACCATAGGATCTGCATGTAAATATAGCAGAGGAAATTGGGAGATACACCTCAAATTTGATTCTTTTAATCAGGATAGTAAGTTGGCAGAGATTAAACATGAGCTAAAGGGGCTCAGTTCAGCCATTTCTGTTTTTCTGCATCTATAGAGAAATCAAACGAGATGCCCAATATAGGTGCTACAAAAAATTATCCCAAAAATGAAGAGAATTTTCTCTTTTTCATGAAGCGAAGCTCTATCTCTGTGGAGTCGAGCCTGCTACTGTAGTTTGAAACAATCAATTAGTCACCTTGTGTTTACGGGAAGTCATAAATTTTTTTGCCAACAGCTCATGAGATAAACAATTAAAAGCATAAGCTTCGAATTTCAAGTATTAAAAACTTCAGGTTATGTGTGGATAGTAAGATCTAAGTGTTTTTGGTGATAAACTTTTGGTTGTAAGATATATTTTTGGGCAGTCAAATCTAATATAACTTCCTCCAAGGTTACCAAAATATTGAGTTATACACTTGATTGAAAGATTCTAACTTTATTTAGATCTTTTTCCTGGTTCCAATTGGGGTATTTATAACTCACTGCGGTCAGAGTACGTTTGACATTTTAAAGAACATTGGCAAAGATACTTTAGATTAAATTTGAATTCATACTCTCGTGAGAATAAGCCAATGCTTGCATATTAATAGCCCATTTGAATATCAGATAAATATAATTGATTATAAAAATAATTATTAATATAATTAATTTTAATTTTAATTAATTATGTTATAACGTAATCTGTCTGGGCATTGAAATTAATTTTAACTGTATTACTTTTTAAAATTAAATTATTGATAAAGTTATATTTAATATTATTAATTTTATTAAACTTTATTTAAGAAATAAAATATATTATTTAATAATAAAATTGAATCTATAAGCAATCCCTTAAAACTTATTTCAAAACGTGATAATGACTTAATAATTAATTATTAATTTTTTTAGTTGTTTGAGTAATTTTTCTAAAAATCGATTATTTAAGTCCCAATATCAATTATAATGCCAATCCAAATAAGCTGTAAACTGATATGGAATTCTCGAAGGTTTTCTACCTTTTTGAGAAAATCTTCACCGATCACCAAACTTTAAAACTCTTTTAGACATAATCTAAGGTGAATTATTCAACAATTCATTGCAAAACATTGAAATTGGCTTATTCTTTATACAAGTTCAAGTGGGATTCCCTTCTCAACTGGCCATTGTATCACTTTGTCGGTTATGGCATTTTTTCTTTAATTACTGATGTTTGGTTTGCCGTGAATCAACCTCTTCACACGAATCACATTGGTCAAATGTCTGGAATTTTTACCGGCAATACTTTGTCGGCCGCTAATTTCCTTAGATTAGGTAGTGAATAGAAAAATGTGAAGCATCGAAAACGGTGCCTGTACAGATTACCGATTAGGCAGCAAATGCTGACGTGACATGCTAAAAAACCATCAACTGGTTTTGGCATGGCGTACAGCTAGAGCCAACAGCTTCTCTCCACTAAATTTGATACTTCCTCTGTTAAATATTTTTTAAAAAATTAAATATTTAAAAATGTCAAAAATTTTAATTATTTAAAATGTAATTATTATTTTTTTAAAAATATTCCTTATTAATAATAACTTTATGTTTAATATAAAGTATTTAATAAAAATAAATATTAAAAAAATTAATTTAAAAATAGATAATTACTATATTAGGAGGTAAAATTTAATTAAAAATATTTTATATTCTTAATCGAAGGAAGTAATATTTAACAGTATAAATTAATAACTATAGTTAAAATTTGATTTTAACATTGTATACTACAGTGAACCTGAACTTTCATGGCCATCAACACATGGAAACACGGTTTCTGCAGAGAAAGGTTTAAAAAGAATAGAGAATAGACACAAAGGAGAAAGAGGAATCCATTTCAGTAATTTTTTAATACACAAGAACTTGAATTGCCAGAGTCATCGTGCTTTTAAGATACAAGTTCTTTTCTCTAGCTATTTTTGTATGGATTTGTACACTCCTTCGCCACAGGCAAAGCCTTGGTCAACTCCGTCAACCAAACCAAAGCCTTTCATTTTCAATCATTCTACTTGGACGTGAAGCTCAATTTCTCCACAGCAATTAACAAACCTACCTCCGTGGGATCCTCAGTAGTTTTGCCATTGACCTTAGACATGGTGAGGGAGCCGTCTTTTTGTGCCGTTTCTTCGGTGGCTGTACATTCTTTGAATCTGAAGCAACTGATAAGGTGGTCATTTGTTAGCCCAGCCACTTGCATAAAAGTGTAGATGACGGTTGGTCCTACACTCCTGAAACCTCTTTTCACAAGGTCTTTGCTTATGAATTCTGCCTTTGGAGATTTGACCGGTAGCTGTCGTGGGTATCGGAATTGACTAACTATCGGCTTATGGTTCACGAAATTCCAGATGAATGCATCAAAGGACCCAAACTCTTCAATCACCTGCATGGAAGCAGGAATTTTCTACGTTGAGAAACCTTCATACTAATCCACCCTCAAACAAGTTGCAGTCAACTTGTTTTATTACAAATTTAGTCATCATTTATGATTCATCTGTGGCTCATGCAGCAGGTTTTCCTTGTTTCATTTTCATTCATCTTCTTGGTAGCTAACAGAAAAGTCTGAAATCGAAGGGTTAATTTCCCCCCTACTTCAGTTAAAAAACAAGGTAGACTTGTGGATGAATGAAAGTTTACCTTGCATATCTGACGTGCATTTTCAACTATGGCTCGCAACCTGAGTTCTGAAAGCAAAGACGTAGCAGGGCTTCCTGGTGCAGTTATCTTTTTCTCGTTCATCCGTGAAACAGTACTTGGATCGAATTCCAAAAAGACTTCACTGTGTTCAGACATGTCATGTAACAAAAAAAAAATAAATAAAATAAAATTAACCCAGTTTGAACCAAAATTTTAAAAATTCATTCTCCATATAAAAATCTCATCAAATGACATTCATACCGAAATAATTGCCTTTTGCTAAGGATGGTGGGCCACGTCAATTCAGCCAAAGCTCCAGAGAAGCTGAGCAACTCAAACAGTTTCCTGCACGAAATCATAGAATCATTGAGACTTCATTTGAACCACAAAGCTGAAAGCACAATATTGCACAAACACCGGAACAAGACCACACGTACTTGTCTTCATGGACAGGAGCTCCCCACTCTTCATCATGGAAAGCAACATAATTTGGTTCTGACAAAAAGGAGAGAAAATAAGCAATCAAAGAAGTACAAGGAATCTACAGCCACAATGTTATAAAGCCAGCTCCGAATTAAGAAAATAGTGAAATCAGATATTTAATCATTTTATCATAGGCAAACAATGCAGCCCCAAATCAACCTCAGAAAAGTTGAATCGTAAGGTACTATGAGGTTAATCACTTAAATATGTAGTTGATAGATAAAGATATTATGACTCTAGAGGTTAGCATGCTCTCAAAGTATGGACACGAAGATCAAAGATTTATCAACATATGTTATCAATTCGTCCTTTAATAGTTAGCTCCATCATACTATAACTATTTCCTGCAGCTTGCCAGCTTAATCCTTATCACTTTTACTCATCCTCCCACTCTAGGCTAACAAATGTTGTAATTTCTGACATGAAAACCAAGGGGTGACTGCATAACTGCATAAGTGCTTTATGAAATGACAGAACCATCTAACTGATATGTTTTGCCATATCATTTTGAAAAATTGCTTGATAAAAAAGATAAATCATCCCAGTTAGTCTATAAACAAACTAGAGAACACTAATGGTTTCTGTGAACGGAAATCAACTTTCTAGGGAAATATGCATTCTCTCAAGCTGTCTTAAAAGTTGCAGCACTTAGAACTTCAGTGACTGACTATTGAAATTGACATGATAAGGAGCAATCGATAAACAAGGTATAATGATGCTATTATCAAGAGAATGCTGTGACCTCTAAGTTTCAATGTTGACATCTATATTTCACTTATTCTGCAAAAAACCACTACTTTAACAAAAGGAAAAAAAAAATAAAATTAAAGCTGCTGGGATACAACAAGCAAGCTCAAGATGAACTGGCATTGCAGGACATAGCAGGCGCTTCTATAAATAATCTATAACTAATTACAGGGATCTCACCATCCAGATCATCAAAACTCATTGCTTAAACTTAATGCTGATGTAGATTATGAAAGTTTAACATCCATAATTCATCATTAGTGAGCGCATGCATCGGGCAAACAAGAGCTAGAAAATGCACCTCTTGGTCTTAAATTGGGAAGAACAGCAGAAAATCCACCATAATATAGTGATCACAGTTAGTGAATGACATATATACATTAGCTAGAGACTATATGGTCTCTTCATTAGACACAAAAATACTTTAGAATCACATGGGACAATATTTGATGTTATGTTAGACCTGAAAGCTACCAGATTCAGGATACAGCTTTGCGACTGTTTTGAATTGGATGTCGTAAAACTAAGCATGGAAAATTAACTCTGTCATTTACGATGGCAGTGTGAAGCTGAATCATGTCATGTAAAAGGGTCAGCAATCCAAATCCTTTTGGTGACCAACGACTAGTTGATTTACCGAATGAAAAGATGTGGAAGCGAGACTTATAAGAATTATACTCGTCTATAGTAAAATTTTTCATTTTCCACATTGCAATCAATTGCAACTTTAATCATGTCTAATTCAATGTCCTCATTCTTCGTCCATAAGAAAGAGTTGTGTCAGGGTTACTCCCTCCCAACTTTAAAGTGCCGAAAATCACAATGAACATGAAGCCTTAAACAAATGATACAACAGCTCGATACTTTTGTTGGCCAAAAGAGAGAAAAGCACAATACTTTAAACAAATGCCAGGGAATCAAGATACCTGTATTAGGTGTAACCCAAGCACACCTTTTCTTGCCCTCCAAACTATCAGTTGAATCTGCCAGGACAGTATCAGGAACAGCCACATTATCTGCCCCAACCTTTTCACGCCTCTCCGCCTTCGAACCAGAGTTCTTTTTCTTCAATGGCTCCCTTGTACGCCGCACCACCTTCCCACCTGACGACGCCCAACTGTGAGTTGAAGAATCCGTTGACGACGCATCAGATGAGCAGGAAGCGTTCATTGACAAACTGAGTACGCCTTGATGATGATCCTGCCGCTTCAAAATCGTCGGTACTGAAACGCATTGCGGATTTGAACGCGCAGTTGGCTTCTTCTCCTTAGCCTCCGGTTCTTGAATCGTCTGCTCTGGTTTCTTGACAGGTTTCGAAGCTGGTTTCCGTCCGTCGGTGGTCCGAGCTTTGTTGCCGGCGGGAACAAGCACCGGCCGGGACTCGGAGTCGGCAACATTCATGGATCGAACTCTGGGTGGGCCCGACATTGCGAGAAATTCTCTCTTTCAGAAGCTTCTTCCAGAAATTTCAAGTCAATGTTGAATATGAAATTCAAATTCCCGGCTGCACACAAAGAATTGGAAAAAAAATATATGGCCAAAGAGAAACTAAACTACTCTAAGCTCAAAATTTTCGCTTGACAAAGTAGACTACTGGGAATTCAATGCGAGGCTTCTATGACCCAAAACCCTAACGGAAAGAAGAGTTTGAACTTTCAAATGCATTACAGAAAACAAAACCTTTTTTTTTTTTTAAATTTTGTGGCCGAAAAAGATATGAGCTTTAGATTGTGGGCGACGAAAATGGCGGCCTTGATAACAACTGAGAAAGAGTAAGAAAGTGAGTGAAGCGAAAATCTTTTGACAAATTTCAAAGGAATGTTCTGATGGTGAAGCTTGGTGGAGAAAGCAAAAGCATCGAATCAAAGGTGGACTGTGAAAGAGGGGAGAGAGAGATGCAGCGGAAGAGAGAAAGTAAAGGGAAGAGTTTACCATTTATAGCTCGCCACGTAGGAAACAGAGCTCTGACGAAAAGGACAAATTTGTCCGGCCCAAAAGTGAGGAAATGTTGTCGCCATTTTTTTCCCTTTTCTTTTTCGTTACAGTGAAACGGCAATATTTGTTGTCGTCGCCTGCCAGCTTCCACCTCGGCGGATAACGTTACAAAGCCCCCTTCAAAAAGAAAGGTTTAGCAATAACATTCTCTGAAGTTATCTTAACGTTACAATATTTGTTGTCGCCGCCTGCCAGCTTCCACCTTGGAAGGCTGTGAAATTATTCAAGCAGATGAAGATTAAACGGATGAAATTGGATGTGGTTGTCTATAATATTGCTATTAATTCGTGCCATAGGTCTTTCACTGGGGGTTGATTTTTCAATTAGGCTCTTTCGTGAAATGAAAGATTTAGGGTTTGAGCCTTCTCTTGTAACCTATAACACCGTCATTAAGCTTTTATGTGATAACTTCAGATATAAGCAAGCACTTGAGATGCTCGATACCATGCGTAAGAATGGATGTCAGCCAAATGCAATTTCATATCATTTCTTTTTCGCTTGCATGGAAAAGCCTAGGGATATACTCACATTGTTTTATAAAATGATTGGAAGTGGAATTCGGCCAAGTATGGACACCTATGTGATGCTTGTGAGGAAGTTTGGGAGGTGGGGATTTCTTCGACCAGTTTTTTTAGTGTGGGAGAAAATGGAAGAACTTGGATCCAGTCCTGATGCATCTGCTTACAATGCTTTGATAGATGCTCTTGTGGAAAAGGGATTATTAGACTTGGCTAGGAAATATGATGAAGAGATGTTAACAAAAGGACTTTCATCTAGGCCAAGGAAAGAATTGGAGACAACACTGGAGGTGACAGGAGAATCCCCTGGCGGATAGTTGTGATTTTTAATCCAATTATTTGCATGTGCAATGGTTGTATAGATAGACAGGCACAAGTCTCTCTTTTTCTCAAGTGGTATCATGGGGAAAAAGCAAGCTTAAGGATATGCAAGGTACTAATATGCTAGAATTTGAAAATAAATATCATACATGGAAGATGACTTCAAAGGAAGGTGAGAAATGTTCGCAAACCCATGGAAGAAAAAAAATCAGCAAATCAGTAACAAGCTTGTTCTCCATTGACTGTTGACCCTATATTGGGTGGATTCATAACTCGACGCTCGCTAAGTTGCTTTGCTGATGCTGGTTCCTGACATGCCTGAATGTGATTGGTTGATTTTCAATCTCTACAAGGCATATGTACAAAAAAAAAAAAAAAAAAAAGCCTGATCCGCTGGGATAATCAGCCTGCTATTTATTTCCTCCAAAGGTAGTACTGAAATGCAGTGGAGACTCAGTTGAAGAATTATGTGAGCTTCAGGCGCCTGTGCTTGACTTTGATCATAAATCTCTGTACATAGTGACTTGCCACTACCACTACTGAGGTTTACACTTGTGAGGCTTCTATTGTCATGATGTTCTTGTTCATTCTGTGGTCAAGCTATAGAAACTATGCTATATATAGATTTGTTTAGTCGAGTTGACTAAATTCAACCAATTTCTGTACTTGTTGGGCTTTGAGTATGGTTTCAACATTTTCCTGGACATGCATCAGAGACTTGAGAATTATTTCAGTATGTTTGTTTGATTGTGGCTTCCGCTTTTGGCTTCCTGGTTTAGCCACAATCAAACTTATTTTTGAGGAGCCTGCATAATGGCTATCCAGATTGTTAAGAAGTTTCTTTCTGTTCTTTTTTAAGCGGATTTCATAGAACATGGCAATCATCAATCAATAACAATCATCAGTATATCTTTAAAATCTATTCCCCCTTAGCCATAAAGAGTAGTGGCTTCATTTTGGCTCCTGTCAGATTTCACTATTGATGCGAACATTGCCAGCTCTATGAGCAGTGCCGGCTCCATCCTGGAGTGCATGAGAGTTCCTTCCCTCTTCTAAAATGTGTTTATGGAACGAAAAACATTTTTGACATCTTTACATTATCACAATATATAATTGTTTTCATACATTTTTAAATGATCAAATACATGGGCAATGTTAATGCAATAATCTCATTTTAATTTCATTTTGGTCAAGTAATTTTTGCGTACCAAGTTTGAATGATTTTCTTAGCATCTTCATTTTGTTTTTCTTAAATCTTAATAAAAAAAAATGCTCATAGGGAATGACTGACAGGGAGTTGAAAATCTTAAAGAAGTGATTTTTTGAATTTAGAAGTTATAAATAGTTTAGATGTGGCTCTTAGTAAGGCCTCTTCAAAATTTACATGAAGTGTTTAAGGGAGATCTCTCTCATCTAATATGAATTATCTATCTTATCTCAAGATAATTTATCTTATAGAGGCTATGTAGCAGAGATTTTAAATGGGCAATAGATAACTTTAAAAGCATTACATTGATGGATAGAATGAGAATGTGTTTCGTGCGCGCGTGCGCAAAGCATTGGAAATTTTTTTCTTTTTCACCATTCAGAAATTATATATTTTTTAGTTCATTCTTTTTCTTTACATCTAAAAAAGTTTCTTCGAACTATTTTGTTTTATTTTTATAAAATATATTGTCATGATTTATTTAGGCATAACAATGGAAGCATTTCTTTTTTTTTTTGTTTCCTCGTACATCTGACAAAATATTTTTGAACTCTTTTGTTTTCTTGTAGAACATATCTTCATGTTTCGTTTAGGTCATGCATTGCAGTATTCCTTTCTCTTCATTGATAAACTATAGTTAGTTTTTAATCTTCCTTGTATCGCTCAGGCAAGTAAAATCTAGTTTTCATTAAAAACAAAAGTATTTTTACTAATAGCACATGCCAGCAAATCTATTGCCAAATTAGAGTCCCCCTTTTGGTTTATACCTAATCAACTAAGAGCACATACCAGCAACAAAGTCACTAATGCATGGTCACATCCCACATCACATTCACATCATAGTTGCTATCATCTAAAATTTCAAAAATAAAATGAAATAAAATGAAATTTTATCCTTTTAATCTGCTGCAAGGATATGGTCTGCAACCTTTCTTACTCTTGAAAGTAGGTTGAGAAGTGATCTACCACACGTATAGCTGGATCATCAGTATAAAGATTATTGCATAAGGTTGTAATAGGCACTGCATATTTTTTGTTTCTATTTTATTTTCATGACTGATATGACTCAGATGGAGACTGTTTCATCAAACATACCAAAAGGATGTAATCATGTCAAAGTGGAGGCAGTGGAGAGTGACCTTCAATTAGCTAAGTTATGTTAATTTTATAATATATGCTAGTCGGGCCACTTGAAATATGCTCTCTTTTCTTCATGTTTAAGGAATCTGTTGATTTAAGGAAACGAAAGAATAATTCAAAGAAACCAAGCTGAACTTTTTCTTTGCTCTTATTACAGGGTAGGTTTGGGTTTAGCCAATAAAAAAAAAAATATTGCTACTAATTATTCTTCTGTTAGTATTTCTAATGTAACAGACTGTAAAGTTTCTTTTATATTATATATCACATAAAAGGCACGTTTAACGTATGCCATAACCATGTGAAACTTTACAAATTTTCACTTCAAGATAACTTCAGAGAATGTTATTACTGAACCTTTCTGGTGATAAATTACTTTCATGTTTTTTTAAAGCTCTACTAACGCTTTCACTGGCTCTATGCTCCAATTAAAGCTTCATCTTCTTTACTCCCTCTTCATTAAATATATCATCAAAACTTCTATTTCCTGCAATAGTTCATCCTACAGTAAACTCATATAACATGTCTTCTCTAAGATACACAATTTCATATGACTCTAAATCCAACTTTGATGAGCTTAGATGGGTCATTCAAATCCGTAGAACCCTTGAAGAAGAACTTGAGGATGATGGCGAGCTACCTGTATCCATCTTCAATGTTCCCAAGCTTCTCATGGTTAGTGATCCAGATTCCTACGTCCCTCAGCAAGTTGCAATTGGCCCTTATCATTACTGGCGTCCAGAACTTTATGAAATGGAAAGGTACAAGCTTGCTGCTGCAAAAAGGTTCCAGAAACAACTGCAAAACCTGAGGTTAGAAAACCTCGTACAACAACTGACGAAGTTGGAGCAGAGGATTCGTGCTTGCTACCGCAAGTTCTTAGATTTCAGTGGCGAAACATTGGTGTGGATGATGGCAGTTGATGCCTCATTCTTGCTCGAGTTCCTTCAGGTTTATGCCATCGAAGAAGGATCAAAAGTACCTCGGGTTTCCTCAAGGTTTATGTCTCATTTGGTAGATTATGCAGGGAAGAAATCGGCTCATAATGCAATTTTGAGAGACTTAGTAATGCCTGAGAATCAACTTCCCTTGTTTGTTTTGAGAGAGATGTTGGAGTTCAAGTTCACATCTTTAGAAGATGCAGATGACTTACTGTTTTTAATGGTTATAGGATTGTTGAAAGAGCTTTCTCCTTTCAAGCTGATGGATGATCATCCAAACGTCCAAGTCTCAGAATGTGCTCACTTGTTGGATTTCTTTTATGACATGATTGTGCCCAAATTGGAACAACAATCTGATATAGTCGAAGTTGACGAGGCTCATCAACTTGAAGAAGAGCAAGAAGAGAATGAAAAATCAACCTCAAATCCAAACCATGTTGAGAGATTCCTAGTGAGCTCTGGAAGTTGCTTTCAAAATAAACAAAGGGCCAGTACGTCTGATTAAGAAGGTATTACTATCTAGACCTGTTCATCATTAAGTTGCCTTGGACAATCATCTCCAACCTTCCTGGACTTAAAATTCTTAAAGTGCCTGTAGAATCCTTCTTCTTTTCCTTGATAGATAAAGAAGAAGAAGAAAAACCAGAAAATGGGGATTCAAGCTCGAATAGTCTTATTAATAGATCACCATTAGTAGAGGAAATTGCTATTCCATCAGTTTCAGAACACTTTGATTCAGGGGTTCGTTTCTTACCCACAAATAAAGGCATATCAAGCATTGCTTTTGACACAAAAACGCGCACATTTCACCTTCCCACCATTAGTCTAGACGTCAATACTGAAGTTTTGTTGAAAAATTTAGTTGCATATGAAGTATCAGCAGCTTCAGGCCCGTTGGTTGTGACAAGATACACTGAACTGATGAATGGGATTATAGATTCTGGGGAGGAGGTGAAGATACTGAGAGAAAAAGGGATTGTTCAGAACCATTTGAAGAGTGATGAAGAAGTAGCTAACATGTGGAACGGGATGAACAGGTCTCTAAGATTGACTAAGGTGATATTCTTGGACAAGGCCATTGAAGATGTGAACAAGTACTATAATGGAAGAATAAAGGTGAAAGCTTGGAAATTAATGAAGTTTTATGAGTTCAGTTCATGGCAGTGCTTGACATTCCTGGCTGCCATCTTGCTCTTGCTCTTGATGACCTTGCAAACTTTCTGCTCTGTTTATACTTGCAGTCGCATATTTCAGGTGGATACTACTGATGAATGATTGATTCATTTCAAATTAACTGAAATTTGTTCTCTCTCTCTCTCTAACTCTTGGTAATGTACCTGTGCTGTGGCTTCTGAAAGAGAAGCGCGTTTTGATTTGTGAATTTAAATCTCCACGATTGAGTTGTTGAGATTTTCAGTTGATGTTCGGATACTTCTCTCTTTTCTGATAAGATGTCGTACTCACGTAATTGGCCTTGAATCTTCTTCTATATTAAAAAAGGGGATAATTACATAAAATTCCCGAGTAAATAAATTAATTACTCACAAAATCTGTTCACTTGTAAATTTAACCTGTAAATAAAAATAGAAGTTTGACTTGTAAATAAACTAAAAAAATAATTAACTTTTCATTTAAGATCTAAATGTAATTCTTTACATATTCATTCCGTTCAAAAATATAAGATATTTTTTAAAGAGTTAAATATTAAAAAATGCAAGACATTTTTAGTCTTTCAAGATGTAATCATTACCTTTTTTTTTTTCAAAAGTGCCCCTATTAATAATGACTTTATATTTATTGTAGAGTGTTTAATAAGAGTAAATATAGCAAGATAAAACTAGTTTAAAAGTAGGTAATTGCTTTATTGGAAGGTGAGATTCTGTTAAAAATAACTTATATTTTTGAACGGAGAGAGTATAAATTTATGCTGCTTCTTGTATAAAAAAAAAGAATACAAATTTCAATTTATGTTTGTTATCAACTGTAAGTAAATAATTTTAGGTTGACAGGTTTTTTATAATAATCTTTTTAGAAAATCCAATATCTTTGGCTTTCCTCATGTTGAGGGGTTAGATTAATTTGAATTGAGCTCGGATGGAACTTTTTCAAAGAGAAGTTTTATTACCTTATATTCCTCAATCAAACTTGAAAGCTCTTATAAAAAAAATATAACTTCTTTATTAGTTGAATCAAATAATCAAGCTGTTTTTATAAGAAAAATTTTAAATGAATTGCATTCATAAGTTCAACATTGGCAAGCAGCTCATTTGGATTAAAGTCCTCGTAAAAGTATTTGTAAATTGCATTGTAACTAAATCCTCACACCAATCTAATTAGGGTTAGGTTTAGAGGTTTAAATCTCCTGCCAAGAGAGAGGTGCCGACACACCTAGATTTTATCAAGACATTGTCACAAAGCCCAATTACAAGTAATAGCATCCAGAGGAGCCAAAGCCTAAAAGCTTCAGTATTTACATAAGCCCACATATATTATTGTATAGTGTTGTAATTTTACATTCTATTCTTATCTATATTGTCAGATGGCATTGTAATATTCATTAGAGTTTTTAACCCTACTCCTATATAAAGCAATAATACATCACTGGCACTGTGTGCCAGTTTTTAAAATTTCAGGTTTTATGATTTTCTTATCTTGGTATCAGAGTATTTCTTGGCATTGCTGCTATGGCTGACTCTAGCTCTCAAAATAGTCCAAAAACTCCTACTGCCATTCAGAGTTCACTTATTTTTGCTTCAAATCTACCTAAGGTTTCAGCTGGTTCTAATGGTCTCTCACAGCCTTGCTCTATGAGACTTGATCAGACCAACTACACTTTATGGTCCACCCATGTTCCTCCAACTATCAAGGGCCATAAACTTGAAGGTTTTATCACTAGTACCAACTTCTGTCCATCTCAGTTTATTGTTGAGAATGGTGTCTCAAAACTCAATCCAGAATTTGAGGATTGGATTGTAGCTGATTAGCTCCTCTTCGGTTGGCTCCTCAACATTATGACTATTGATGTTTCTTCTGAAATGACCAGTGTTTCTACCTCTGCTGGTCTTTAGCATGCTGCAAAAGAAGTTACTGGAGCACAGAACAAAGCCAGAGTTCTTATGCTGCATTCTGAGTTACAACGTACTAGGAAAAGGTCTTCTTCTATACAAGAATACCTCTCTAAAATGAAGGATTTCTCTGAAAGTTTGTCTCTCACTGGCAGTGCTGTACCTCAGTTTGATTTTTTACTTCAAGTATTAGCAGGACTTGATGGAGAATACAATCCCATTATAGTGTAACTTTCAAAACAAGATGATATTAGCTGGATTGAATTTCAGACTGAGCTACTTACCTATGAGTCTCGGTTAGAGCAACTCAATCAAATCTCTTAACTGAATGTTTCTTCTCAATTTGCAAACATTGCTTTTTTTTTACTCTTCTTGTGGTTCTTGGCGTAGTTCTTATAGAGGTAGACCTTCTCGTGGAAGAGGCAAATTTAGTTGTGGAAGTGATAGACCAGTATGTGTGTTATGTGAGAAAACTAGTCATCATGTCAAAAACTGTTATAAGAGGTTTGACCGCTCCTTCAAACCTCCTACTAATGGCAGCAATAGCAAGAGTTCATTTGATGACATTCAGGCTGGTCAAAACTTTGTTTTCTATGCTTCACCAGAAGTAGTTAATGATGCCTCTTGGTACCTTGATAGTGAAGCCACCACACATGTCACCAATGACGCTTCCAGACTTGACAGTCCTATGAAGAATGATGGTAAGATAACATTATTTGTTGCCAATGGACAAAATATGAAAGTTGAACAAATAAGTACTTCTAGAATTCAAAATGTGCCTGGAAATTCTGTTGTCCTTAAAGATATTCTATATACTTCTATTGCCAAAAAAAATCTTCTAAGCATTCCTAAACTTACTGATGATAATGATGCTACCATTTCTCTTAACTTTAAGACTGCTCTTGTGAGGAAATAGAGGACAAGGGAACCTCTTCTTCAAGGAATGAGAAGTAGTGGAGGACTTTACAAAGTTGATGCAAAGAAGATTAAAAGACTTAAAGAAAATTTTGGAGACCCACAGTTAGTTCTCTCGGCTGAACAAGTTAACAACAATAGTAGAATTAGTAACAAGTCTAAAAGACTATGGCATTGTAGACTAGGTCATCTTAGTGACTGAATTTTTAAGAAAATGATTAGTGATTGTAATATCAAACTTAATGATAATGATCAACCCTTGTTTTGTGAATCTTACAAGTTTGAAAAGTCTTACTCACTACCTTATAAAATTTCTATATCTCATATATCTAATCCCCTTGATCTTATTCATACAGACTTCTGGGGACCCTTTTCAATTCAGTCCTTAAATGGTTACAAGTATTACATATTGTTCTTGGATGATTTCAATCGATATAGCTGGATTTTTCCTTTAAAAACTAAAGATGGAGCCTTACCCATGTTTGTCAAGTTCAAACAGTTTGTGGAAAACCAATTTGATAGAAAAATTAAGGCTATTCAAAGTGATTAGGGAGGAGAATATAGAAGTTTCACTAAGTTGGTACAAGATTCTGGCATTCATTTTAGACATTCTTGTCCTCACACTTCCTTATAAAATGGTAGGACAGAAAGGAAACATAGACATATAGTAGAAGTTGGTCTAACCCTTCTAGCTCAAGCTCACATGCCTTTATTTTACTGGTGGGAGGCTTTTCATACAACTATTGAGCTCATTAACAAGCTCCCTACTCCTGTTCTTGGTGATAGTTCACCTTATTAGTGACTATTTATTAAGTATCTAGACTATGAGAGTCTCAAGGTTTTTGATTCTGCATATTACCCCTGTCTTAGAGCCTATAACCAACACAAAATCAAGTTTCAAACCATGAGATGTGTTTTTCAAGGCTACAGTAATCATCATAAAGGCTATAAGTGCCTTAGTCCTACTGGGAGAGTATATATATCAAGAAATATGGAGTTCAATGAATCTAGCTTCCTTTTTGCAAATGGATTCTTGAATAAAAGCAAAGTACCTAAAGTTGAAATTCACCTATAGTGTTCTTTAAGTCTTCCTTGAAGCTGTTGTCCTCTAAACATCTTAAATCTTATTAGCATATGGTACCAAACATAATAGATGATGCTGTATCACCTTCTTCTTCCCATGTTTCAATTAATAATTAGTTTATTTCTAACTCTCCTAGTTCTAATATCAGAATTGAAGAACTTGCTAAACGTGATTCTACCTTGTTTAGTACTTCACTTGATTCTTTAAATGTTAACATGATTTTTGATTCCTTATCTAGTAATAGAGGGCACTTTACTCAATTTATTCCTGACACAAAAACACACTAGATATAGGATACTCAGTCCAAATATCATATGATAACATGCAGCAAATTTGGTATTTTCAAACCTAAGTAACCGTACGTTGATATGGCCATCACAAATGAATGCACAAAAGTTATAGAACCAAGTAACATTCAAGATGCACTCAGGTCAAATTTATGAAGGAAATCTATGATTGAAGAGTTTAATGCACTAGATAAAAACAAAACTTGGGTACTTATGCCAACTACTGGGAGAGAAAGACCTATGGATTGCAAGTGGATTTTCAAGAGTAAATATGGTCCTGATGGCAAATTTTTAAAGCCCAAAGCAAGACTAGTGGCTAAGGGGTTTTAAGTATTGACTATGATGAGACTTTTAGTCCAGTTCTTAAGCCATCTACTCTAAAATTTATTTTCACTATTGCTGTTAGTCTTAATTGGCAAATAAGATAGTTGGACATCAACAATGCTTTCTTAAATGGCTTTCTTCTAGAAAGGGTTCTTATGAAACAACCAGAAGGATTTATAAATAAGAGGTATCCTAAACATGTGTGCCTTTTAAATAAAGCCATTTATGTTCTAAAACAGGCACCTAGGGCCTGGTTTGATAGACTGAAAAATATATTGTTGAGTTGAAATTTCACTCATTCCAAATGTGACAGCACTTTGTTCTTCCTAAATCTTAAGGAAAGTATGATGTCTTGTCTAATATATGTGGATGATATTATCATCACTAGAAATAACTCTCATATGCTTGATGTATTTGTTAGAGAGTTGAATGCCTTATTTCCTCTTAAGGACCTAGGTAATCTACATCATTTTCTTGGTGTTGAGGCATATCGAGATTCTACAGGTTTATACCTCAAACAAGAGAAATATATATTTGAACTTCTAAGGAAGTGCGGTATGGAGAATTGTTCACTTGTTCCTATGCCTATGGTTGTTAATA